AAAAAAAAAAAAAAAAAAAAAAAAAAAAAAAAAAAAAAAAAAAAAAAACCAAAACAAAAAAAACAAAACAAAACAAAATAAAATAAAATAAAATAAAATAAAATAAAATACTTTAGGGTGGTTAGCGAGCTGCAGGAGATAGAGGATGACGGTGGGGAGGTGGGGTTGTAAACCCTCAATACACCCAACAGCAACAGCACCAAGAGAGAGAATAGCTGCTTCTAGCCTGAGCCAGTTTTCTTCTTTCTCTTTCTCCTGCTGCTGCTGCTGCTGCTGCTGCTGCTGCTGCTGCTGCTGCTGCTGCTCTCCCTCTCCCTCTCCCTCCTGCTGCTGCTGCTGCTGCTGCTGCTGCTGCTGCTGCTGCTGCTGCAGGCCTTGTTCTATAAGAGGTAGTACAAAAGGCAGCAGCTCTTCTCTAAAGACAGAAGCAAACATATCGAGGGATAGGGCGCTGCCTTTCCTCAGGGTCCAGTTGTCTCCCCATGCTCCCCTTGTCTCCTCCTCCTCATCCTCATCATCTGCTGCTGCTGCTGCTGCTGCTGCTGCTGCTGCTGCTGGGTCTCCTGCTGCTGCTGCTGCTGCTGCTGCAGCAGCAGCAGCAGCAGGGTCACGACCCCGAGGGAAGCGGGGAGCCACCTCCTCCGCGTCGTCTGCTATTCCCGCGTTGTCTTCCTCTAGCTGAGATGCATCCATGTCTGCAGCAGCAGCAGCAACAGCAGCAGCAGCAGCAGCAGCAGCAGCAGGAGATGCAGCAGCAGCAGCAGTAGGAGATGCAGGAGCAGCAGCAGGAGATGCAGCAGCAGAAGGAGATGCAGCAGCAGCAGCAGGAGATGCAGAAGCAGCAGCAGCAGGAGATGCAGCAGCAGGAGTGAGAGAGGTAGTGATTGCAGCAGCAGCAGCAGCAGCAGCATTACAGCAGCAGCAACACGAACAGCATCAACAGCGCCACCACCAACAGCAGCAGCAGCAGCAACAGCAGCAGCAGCAGCAGCAGCAGCAGCAGCAGCAGCAGCAGCAGCAGCATACTGATGAAGTCTGTTTCTGTGTAGACAGTATTGGCAACAAGAAGCGGGATGATGCGGTGCAGCTGCTGCTGCAGCTGCTGCAGCACGTGCTGCTGCACCTCACCACCAGCATTCGTTGCTTCTCTCAGGATTGCCTGCAGCAGCAGCAGCAGCAGCAGCAGCAGCAGCAGCAGCAGCAGCAGCAGCAGCAGCAGTAGTAGTAGGATGAGCATCATCATAAGTAGGAAAGACAGTACAAGCAGCAGCAGCAGCATCGTCGGCAGCAGCAGCAACAACAGCAACAACAGCAGCAACAACAGCAGCAAC